TTTTTTTTTTTTATAATATTTGACTCTGTCTAGTCTGAGGCTTATCAATCATTTTGCTAAAAAAAATATGGATTTGTGATTGGGCATTCAGGCACAATCATTGGTAAGATAGTATAAATACAAATATAAAAATTGAATCCACAATTAGTAAAAAATAATGTTACAATATTGATACAAAATTAGGCTTTATATAGTGGATCAAAGTTTCTTGCTACTAATTCAGTATAGTTTATGATTAATTGTTATTGAAATTAGAATTAATTGATATCTAAATTTGATGCTTTATATATTGAAGTTATTATATACATATTCACATATTTATAATGCATAGTTAGAAGGATGAAGACATAATTATTTTAATAATCAATATACATCCATTACATTTAGATCATTGATCATGATGATTGTGATTAAACATACATTTTTATTTATTGAATACTTCGAAAAAAAAAAATATAACAATTATATACAATAGGTTGACCATATATATATCTATATATATATATATATATATATATATAAGCAAACATCTATCATTTATGCAATTACAGTCAGTTGATATATTCCCAAACAACACATGTAGAACCTTGTGGCCTGTCCCAATCCGCCACGTGGAGTTCTTTATAAAGATTAAGATGTATCACAAAACACAATTGTGAACTCTTCAAATAATCCAACACATTATTAAATCTCGCTATCTATATGGAATGTCCAGTTTCCCAAGTTATTGTAATGTCACCATAATCAATAAGACATATACAAAATTTAAAATCACGCTTTGCGTATTGACACGTGTCCAATAGCCATGTGTCAAAATTTTCGATCATGTCGTGTTAGCACATAATTAAGACGTGTTTCAAATAGTTACGTTTCAAGATTTTGTAATCCTTTAATTATTACGTAACTGCGTGTACATTATTGTAATCTCTTGCCACATCACTTAGTAAACATATCAACGTGTATCTACCATGCATAAAAATGAGAGTAGAAATTCATATTTAAAAAGTTAGACATTTGATAGATAGCACTTCGCAGCTTGCAAGTTCCCACTTATAGGCATGGCTACGGACCGGTCCAGAATTTGCCCTTGGTCAACGGGTCTCGAACAAAGTCGATTTCGGGCCATATATTTGTAATCTTTTGAGCCGCCGGACCCATTTTTAACCGGAACCAACATTTCTGTTTTTTTAATTTTCAAATTATTATTATTATTGATGAACTGGGTCTGTTCGGAACCGTCGGTTCATCGAATCTACCCGTATATGTTTCCAGGTCGGTTCAGGACATTCAAAGCCGATGCTCGGAACCGCCATTTAGCCATGTCTACCCACCTAATACTAAAATTTGTGAGATTTATTTTTGTTAAAAAATTGTATTAATAAACTTGATAAAAAAAAATAATAATAATTTGGTAATCAATCACAGTTTGTAGATGCAATAATGTGTTGTAATTGAAATAATTTGGTAATGAAGATATTTTCTTGAAGAAACTACTAATTATGCAGTATTTGTGACCAAATCATCAGTGGCCATTGACCACAAGATTATTCCAAGTGGATTGAAGTTTGTAGAAAATTACAAAGCTAAAAAGGTTAAAAGTTTGAACACATTATAATAATTATTAATTAGGTCCGCCACTCACAAGCCTCCAACTACCCTCAAATCAATAGAGGAAAAAAAACAAAGCAAAAAAGGTGGCAAATAACCATACCCACAAAAATTGCCTAAAGTTGGTGATATATTTGGTTTTGATGGGCCAATTTATATACCATGGACGGTGATATTCATGATGAATTTATGGTTGACAGTGGGGCTGCTCATTCGGTTAAAATCGAACCGAACTGAACCGAGTATTGAAACTAGATTTGTTGGATGATTAGATAAGTAAAAGTCATAATTCATAAATAAATAATATGTAAGTTTTGTTTTTCTTTTTTTTTTTTCATCACATGTTATTTGTGTATTTAACTATTTAAGTATTTATCATTGAAATATATATAAATAATTTTTTTAGTATCAACAGGCCATCTAAATGTATAAAGTATTTAATCAAAATATATTATTGAGTATTTGATATTTGGTGACAATATTTATTTGAGAGCATATATATAGATATTATTAACAACATTGTGTAACTTATCGTTTTTCATGCTCGAATACAACTAATGTGCAATAAAATATATTGATATTTGCTATGAATTATTCACACGACCATCGTGTTATAAATTTCGTTTTAACTTTGTACTCATCAGATCACCGACTGTTTTGATTGAGATAACACAAGAACTTTCTTTCTTTTCCAATTGGGCCATATTGTGGTGGGCCCTGAACTTGAGATCAACAATGAATGCTCCTTCTTTTGGAGGCCCAAATTCGAGTGGGCCTAAAACCTCTCTTCATCACGTTTCACATGTGATGGATTAATCTCATCACAATTTAAGAATGTAAATTTGAAAGACGATCCCACCACAATTTTGAATTAGGTAGCATTCATTATCTGCAAATTTATATGGCGTGACATTTTTAAAGATATATTCAAAAATTCATATATTTAATTATTTATTCCCTTCGTCCTTTCCTCTTCACAAAAGTTAAGTTCTTTACGAATCTCCAAATGGTTAACACGTTAGTAGTTACTCGTCTAAAATTACTAGACATTCTAACAAAAGGTGGCAATATAGTATACACATGTGTATCACTGCCGCAGATAACGGGCTTCTAAAGGGCCGGGCGGCTGGCTCATCATCAATGGCTAGCAATCATGGGCCCGATCAGGCCCAAAGATGAAATGTGGAGCTAACACATGTATTCGGTATTTGATGTAGGGAAGCGTACGAGTGAGACGATATTAATGAAGTCACAATCTCAAGAACATCAAAACACAATATAATTCATATTTTATTCATAAACAACCAAGAAAAATAAACTAGAAGGAGTCCTTTATATAATGTCCCTAACCCTAAACATTAACTTGTCCACCAAGTCATTAAATAATAATAATAATAATAATAATAATGATTTTAATCATATATATTTTCCATCATTCTCCCTCGGTGGAGCAGGATTCGGCCTCGAATCCGACCCGTTCCTGTTAGAGAAGTGTGTCCCGCTCCGTCCTCGATCGAACACGAAGCTTGAAGAATGCCCAACAACACCGAATGTAAACATAAGCTTGGGCAAGGAATAAGCTAATGCAAAGGCACATGTACATGCCTCCATACGCATATCTCACACAACAGAATTAACATCAAACATACCACAACGGTCGCCTCGCTCAAATCATAATTACGGCCAAGCATCCCGTTGGTTGGAGACATCGTGATAGATAATTGGAAAATGGACCAACAGTTATTAAGCCTCGTCTGCGGCTCCCAAAAATCATCGTTGGACAAAAGACGCCAGAAATCGGGTCCGACCGATAGTCGTCGAATCGAAGGTTTAACCTCTGCTACGTACCACACGGGACCCATATCGTCGCATATACGCGACTCCGTCACCGAAGGCTCCTTATCAAAAATCGGCGGACCGTCGCATATATCGCACGCGTCCGGCTCGGAATATGGGGAATCTTAAAACTCGATGTCAAAGCCTGCTTGTGGCTTTTCAGGCCCAAAATAAGGAGTAAAACCATCCATTTCCTCGTCCGAGTGCAGACCATCGCGGTCGAACCAGACCTCCCCGTACGTGCCTTGGCCACCGCGCATCATCCCTCCGACGCGGCGTCGAAATCCGCCACATCCGCCATGGTTGCCACGCGCTCGCCAGTCGTCGGCCCTGCGTGGAGGTTTGTCGAAAACATCACTCCACCGTAAGTCGTGGTCCTGATTTTGTTCCCCCGATATTTCGTCAGAAACATCACCGGTCAGCGGTGGCAGTGGTGATCGTCGGCGGGGCGCCCCGCCATAAACTCGACCTCCACGACCTCTGCGCATCCCTCCGCTATGGCCCCGGTCAGCCCCTTCGCGGTTCGGTGTTGATGTCGGTGAAACGTTCATCCATCCCTTGAAATCGATCTTCCATCCTCTGGAATCGTTCTTCAATGATGTTGTCGTTTTGCTTTGGCGGCATCGTGGATCGCTGCTGGTCTCTGGATACCAACTGATGTAGCGAAAGCGTGAACGAATGGGAAAAATACGAGATACTTTCTCGAACTTGGGATACTCTCCCGAAAGAACACCAACAATTTTAATTCATTCTCCAATTCTCTCCAATACAAAGCAGAATGAGCCTTTAAATAAGACTCTAACCCTAAACATAACTTATTTTCCAAGCTAATAATAATAATAATAATAATAATTTTAATCATATATATTCTCCATCAGTATTCCCCATCAGTGTAGATTATTGTAGGTGTATTAGTACTAACCAATTAATTCACAGTGGATGTGAACTATACTATGGCTAGAGTAGATACATTCTGTGTGCAGTCTCTGTTCTTCATTCATCATTCATTATTAATTGCAAGATGGTTTCCATGTCATTGGTTTTATTTATTATTTTTCTAGAGACATGCAATCTTTTATTTACCATCCAAATCTAAATTGACAACGTGTATAGTAAATACAGCTGTTAAGGAATCGACTACTGCTTATTAAGGCTCGAATCCGGAGCCGGGTTGTTAGATATTAGTTGGTAAGCCCAGTTTTGCTCGTTAAGAAATAAGACTTGTTATGTAATTCTTTTCACTATTATCATTGTTTGGCTCGTTAAAACTCCAATTCGACTCGTTAATTTTAATAGAAAGTCGAATTTACACGAGGCAGCACATGATAACCCAGACTAGACATGGCCAAAATCCAGGCCGGGTCACAACCCAGCCCGGCCCCCCGGGTCGAAGGGTTGGGTATGGCAGACCCTGAACCGGCACGGCTTAGGTCTGTGCCGGGTCCATGACCCGGCGGGCTGGGCTGGGCCCGGGTCTTGACCCGTCCTAATAAAAAAGAAAAATTCAAAAACTATACATTTTGTTGTGTCGGCCCTGACCCGGCCCGGCCCGGCCCGGCCCGGCGGGTCGGGGTCGAAAAAATCCCGACCCGGGATTGTCCCTTATGAAATCCGAGCCGGACCCGGACCCGTGGTCAACGGGTTTGACCGGGCCGGGTCCGGGCCGGGTCGGCGGGTCGGTTGACCCGTGGCCATGTCTAACCCAGACAGGCAGCACATGGGGTGACATGGAATGGACCATTACACTACTATTTATTTTCTTGTACCCCTCAAAACAAATAGTTCACAAAATTAAAATGTACTATAAAACTGGAAAAGTGAAAAACAGAACTAAATTATACATGGACCAGACAAACAATCTACAGTAGTACATTACTTTTTCTTCTTCTCTTTTTTATCCCCCATAAGGCCATAAACAGTACATATAAAATCATTATGATAGAACCTAGAGAAATTAACATCAAACCTTCAAAAATCAATTAGCACATAAATGTATCAAAAAAGGAGCTAGTTTTCGACTTTCCGTAATTATATCACCAAAAAAAGAAATAGAAGCACTCGCTCATCTGAACCAAGCAGATAAAATAACAGCATAACATTATCAACCCCAACTCCACTGCAAAACGAGTCGAACGTAGCAAAACACATTTGAACATATAATGATCTCCTTAATACACACTCAAACTGTTAGCAATCAGTACATCTTCACACTCCACATGTATTAATTAGCATATCCATTACAGGAACAGTAGCTACAAAATACGAGACACGCCCCAAAGAAAAAAAGTACAAATAGCTTCCTAAAACATCTACCAGGTAACTAAAATCACGTCTTACAAACATTCACTTCAATCACTTTGGATGAAAATTCCAAGCAAGCACAAAAAATTTAAAAATATTTTTCATATTTATATTTACTATTGTTTTTACCGGACTCATGCAGTAACAGTCGATCTGGTTGATTTTTTCCCTTCCATGGCGTCTTTCTTTCTCCGACAACTTGCGCAGAGGAAAGGACCCTCCCATGGCTTGGATGAAGGAGAAAAAAATGGGCCCGAGTTCACGGACAAACCCTCGTTAGGTGGCTGATCCACTTGGCAAATAGCACATCTAAAGAGCCCAGAATTTGAGTCCAAAGGGAAATCCTTACCCAGCCTGCATTCGTTTCAAGTGTTGGTTAACATAAAGAACAGTACCAAAAGCCAAACATTGGAAACCAATGGATAACACATGAAACAGTACTCAGAGCCCTTCAATTTATCCAGGTGGTATTTATAACAAGTAGATAGAAGCAACACTGAATTATTACAGTTGAATTTAAGCACGCGTACTCTGAAAGAAGTGCGTTACTTTATCGTAATAGTTATGTAGAGAGAAGGTAATGTTTGGGTTGTAAGTGAATTTGCTTAATTTTAGACAACTAACCACTGGTGCTGGAGAAAGATAGCGAATAAATTAGGATGCAAAGCTGCCAAAGCATATTTCTGTTAAGACAATAGTATCTGCTCTCATACTAACTCAAACCCTACTCTTTCATTAACATTTTTCTTCTTAGAGATCTTTATATAGGGAGTGACTGGATAACCTCACAATTATTCTGTTTTGTATTATTATAAGGGAACAGAGGAGGAGAAAGTTGTGTTCAATCAGATAAAAGATGAAAATTTAATGATGAACTTGTTATTAAAGGTAAATAGTGAGAGGACGCCATGTGAACATAAGGCCACACAATGAGAAAAGAAACAAAACAAAACAAACAAAAAGTATCAGGTTATAGATTGGATAGGAGATAGGCCTGTGTTCCCTTCATGTTTCGAAGAATTTGTGCAGACATGTGTAACAATGGTGATCTCTTTTTTTTATTATTATTATTTTTTCTCTCTTGCTTTTCTGTAAAAATGGACAAACTGTGAGAGGAAAAGTTAAAGCAAGTGATTTGTTAAGATCGTTTGTGAATATGTTCATAAATAATCCTCCCTCTGTCCCACAACTACAGGCCTTGCTACTTTGGTTGCCCCATAAAGATAGACATGTAATATCAGAAAAATAGAAACGGGTGATTAATAACTAATAACATAAGAGGTTTACTGAGAAAAATACTGATAAATGTTGTTTCACAAATGCCAATGATCTCTATTTTATAAATGTCTGCAAAAGCAAATTAATAAACTTATATTTGTGGGAGTAGCAGTTTTGGAGTAAGGAATTTTGCCAGAGGGCAGAAAGCAAAAATTTCACACCTCTCCCAAAATACCATCTTTCTTTCTTGATGGATAAAACTGAATCACAGTTTCAAGTTTTGTCTGCAGAAGGACAAATATTAAAATACTAAGAAATTTTAGCTTTACAGACATGCAAAAACTGTAAAAGCCTTAGTAGACACTTGCTGAAGCTCAATCAGTTGATTAAGTCGAAGGCCTCAATATAATGGTAAGTAGAGGTATGGATAGAATAACAATAAAAATAAATAGGCTATAGTTAAATGCTAAACATGCTTTTAGTTGCATGTCTTACACATTTTCAACTTTTATCTGGAGAAGGAAAAATAATAAATATTAAGATATTTTTGCTTAACAGACATGCAAAAACTGCAAAAACCTTAGTAGACACGTGCTGAAGCTCAATCAGATGATTAAGGCAAAGGCCTCAATATATTGATTATTAGAGGTATGGATAGATTGACAATATAAAAGAATAGGCTATAGTCAAATGCTAAACATGCTCTTAGTCGCATGCCTTACTAGAGACCAAACACAATAGCAGAGCAGGTGTATGGAACTTCTGAAATGAACATATAAAAACCTGATATGCTCAGCAAATTTAAGAAACTTTCAGTAATTCGAGCAAGGTGCGGCTTCTCTAACCACTGATCTCAATTAAATTCAACACACTAGCAGTTTCTCTTAACAAAAAATGAATCAAGACATTATGCTACAGAATGAGATAAAATTGAAACTGAAGTAAACTTAAAATTTGAATCTTGTTCAACTTTCCTTACCTTAAACATTTTATTTACAAAAATTGACATCGACCCTAACTTGTGTCCTGCTATATAAATGGGTATAAAAATGGATTTTACGCATGTCTACTGCGTGTTTCTTGAAACACAAAAAGACTATAAGTAAGAGAAGGGAGGAACACAAATGTTATACAACTTTACAGCAAACTAGAGAAGTTGAAATTGAGAGAGAAATTCATTATGTCTGCTTGCAGGTAATAAACTTAAGTTAATCAAGAATAAAATGGACATCCAAAATGTAAAATAATGTAAAAGGTACCTCTCAGCAAGCATTGCAGAACCCTCTTCAAACAATTCCTCAACAACTCCAACAGTGGACAACCTATTATTAGTTCCTTTTGCAGAGTTATGATCTCGCCTCCCAAAAATAAGTGAACTCAGTATATTTTGCTTCTTTTTAGGCGTTGGGGGAAAAACAGGATGCGCTGATGGAATAATATCAACAACCAAGCAAGTTGTATCATCTTTCAAACCCCGTGATCTAAGCGCCTCCTGCAATTGGAGGAAAAAAAATGACGAAAATATCATAGTCTAACAAAACATCAAATCAAGTCAGGCATCACAAGCATGAGTGCGCTTTTATTTTATATGATATAATAATACCTTAACGACCAACTTTGCAGCAAGATCTGCAGGTAAACCCCGACAAGCCTGAGCAGCACTATCTGATGACAAGGCGTCCCATATACCGTCAGAAGCTATAATAAGCCTCCCCCCGGCATTTGAGAGCTAACACCCAGAAATAAATTTCAGAATTTTCAGCAACTCAAAACCCACAAAGAAAAAGTGAGACATTGAATCATTTGTCTAGACAGGTTATGAACCTTGACTTGCTTGACATGAGGAATTGGGACGATAAACTCGCCGACATCCGTATCACCAATGGACCTTGAGAGACACAATCCACCAGGCCAGCAACGTAATGGACCAACCTACAAAGTCCCCCCAAACACGAAAAACCAAAACATTAGGTAAAAATGAACCCACAGGCCACAGGTTTATAACACATGGAATATAAAAATAGAAAGAAAGAAAATTAAAAAGGCAAAGCAATATAATTACCTCACTGCCCCCGAAAACATTAAGCCTTCCAACCTCACCTCCGCTGGCCGTCACACGCTCCCGCTCCTCAACGTTTTCCTCCAGCCGGTGGTCAACTGTAAGGAGAGATACAACTCCACCAACAGTGTCCAATATGCAACGAGAATCTCCAACAGAAGCAACGGTCACAGTCCAGCCATCAATCACGACAAACGTAACAGTTGTTCCAGAAGTCTCGCCTGTCAATTGCCATTCATATCAATCAGCTGAATCGGAGGATGCAAAAATTACCCAATATGCAATGTACGAAAATGAAAAAAAAAAAAAGGAAAAATAAAAATTCAGTACTACTTATATGAAAATGAAATCAATAATAAAAAAGAAAACAACCTCGCTGCTGAAACTCGATGTCGGTTTTCACAAACCCAGCTACTAAAGCCCTGGGAAGGGCTTGAAGCCATTCTTCACGATCAAGTCCTTGGGGAACAGCACTCAAGACATTGTTCAGCAAATTCTCCTTAGCAAATATGGCAGCCGATATCCCGTTATGCCCATCAAAGATCTAAAAATTCCAAACAGATAACATGTCATAAGGAAATGTCATAATTGAAGACATCATTCTTCAAATAGATAATAACAACCGAGTTCATATATACCGCAAAAACTGAAAAGGACATAGACGGATCGCCCGGAACCCTTTGGCAATCGGGCTTGATCAAGAAATAGTCCTCTCCTTTCTTAGCAAGCGCAGCTTGCCCATATTTCAAAGTCGGCTTATCCAACTTCTCACCCCTCAATTCTCGACCAATCAGAGTCCCAAGTGCAACAGGCTGCTGTTTTTGCTTCATTTCGGATACCTCTATCTTGCTCATTTTAGTACTCTCTGTTTTAGCATCGCTCGAACCGTCATTTCCAATCCCTAATCCCCCAAAAACAGCTCGTAAAATTAGCACACATTCTACCAAACATCATTTACACACGATTCAAAACGCTGGATCTACAGCACCCAGCCATTAATTCGAACGATCCAGAACAAGAATTAGGAAGAGCCAAACTTACCTGTACCTATAAACGAACTAAAATACGAGAACAAGTTCAAATTATTCAGCTGCTACTGTAACTCAAGCAATGTATCAACGCATATAAAGCTATAACTCTCCGATAAATTCAATAGATCATCAAACAACAGCTTCTTGACTGCAGTAAACTGAAAAATTCTTACAATTTCGAGCATGCATTAGCCAGACCCTAGCTAAGATGCTGAAGCTCAAAAAAATACTAACACACTTTTGTTCGAGAAACGTAATTACAGCTTCACAAGAAAGAGATGCAAGAGCTTACCGCAAAAGCATTGATGGCTACTAACAGAGCAGATCGAGAGAGCTCAGAGTTGAGAACCCTAGAGAGAGAGAGTACAGAGGAGCTGCTTTTTTTTACGAGTGATTTGATTGGAAGATGAAGTCTAGACAGAGAAGACGCGGAGAGAGAGTAAACGGGTTTTCGGGCCAAATACCTCCGATTCCTATGGATTTATGTCCATTGACATTTAATAAAATTTTCTCTAAATAAAAAATTGTGTGATTTTAATTTTCATAAATATATAAAATTTGAAAAAAAAATAATTTAAAAATATAAATATAAATGCCTTTAGTTTGTAAATATTTACTATACATATAGTCACACATAAATTTACTTCTAACATTCAAAATATTAAAAAGAAAAAAAAATGTTAATTGTAGGATTATATAATCATTAATATTTGTTAACAAATGGTGTATTGACATTTTTTAAATTAAAAAATTGATTCACTTAGAAGTTAAAACATGTGTGGTTATTTTAAATTTTTCAATTAGCATATCAGTTTCGCTACTAATCCATCAAATGATACGACTTGTGAAGTCATCCACCGTTATTAATGTTTCTATAGCTTGGTTGTTAGACGAGTTAAATGCATCGTTAAGTTTAAATATAACTAAACGCATAGCGAAACAATACAATTTGCTGAAAATATATATCTACAAAATATTCAAAAATATATCTACTCAAGAAAATTTATAAATACAGTTAAAAAAAAAAAAAAAGCTCTCAACTGAACTCAAATTAGTACATACACATATCACCACCTTTAGTAATGGGATATCAAAAAAATCTATGATAAACATCAAATTCCCCAGATATTAGAGAGAAGCATAAACAAGAAACTAAAAGACAACTTATAACTCAAGTTCAGTCTCTCAAAAATGTTCTTCACTTCCCGTTAGTCGGTTTTCGCTTCCCGACAGCATAAACCGGTTGCCTCCCGCCTTTTTGCGACGTAGCTTGAACACCGTTCGACACCCTCCTAATTGGTTGTGGGATTTGGCTCCTACATATTCGATTCAAAATTGGAAAAAATACAATGATATAAACGGAAGAACATAAAGGTTTGACATAATAACACGTGTCATGATAGTTTTATTTCACACATCACATTACTTTTGAAATACGTTGTCTTGGTTTTATAGACAAGTAGCAAATATAAAGATGAAATATAACCATATGACTAATACTCATTTTGCCGTGCAATGACAAAATTACTCTTACTACAGAAATTTCAATAAAAAGTAACTAATATGTCCAGACAATTATGTCAAAGTAGTTTAATTTATCTATAAGCAAAACAAATCACCTCAGTTCCTGGCTGCCCTTGGTCGGTTTCGGGCCGGCCTTCCTGGCCTTCGGGCCCACCACATTCGGCATGCTGTTGCACTTACGTATACTGTAATCGGCCTCCGACGAGTCGCTGGTGTCGTCCATTTGCGCCGACTCATATTCATGGGCCACTCGGCCAAGCCCATTGTCCAAGCTGTGCCTCCTACTAACTGGGCCCTTCTCCGGAGATTTTTCGGGCCGGGCCATCCTGCTGCTCTTTTGATAGAACTCGTCGGGCGACTCCACTTTCTCCTCAAGGCTCCCGATAAGCGGTGGCCAATCGGCCGAGTTGGCCAATAGGTCGAGGCTCTGCCTTCTTGAAGTCGACGAAGAGTTAGTTTGCTCCTACAGACAAAAATTGCTCAAAAATATCAACTTTTTTTTTTTTGTTTCTTTTTTTCTTATCAAGCAACAAACCAAAGCCGGTTGAGTTTCAAGATTCAACTTTCAAGTTTCAAGTATCCTTCAAACTTTGTATTGTATATATGCAATGGCTTATAAGGTGGGTATTTTTTTTTTCTAAGTACCTCTGTTTTGCAGGCATCATTATCTACACTATCCCAAGAGAAATGAGATGGAGAGGAGCCAGAGGACTTGATCCCCTGCCTATCGGGCCCCGAATCTCCTTCTTTCCTTGCTAAGGCCGCTTTAAGACTCGCTACCTGCACGAGCATTGTCACGTATTTTTTATATAATATAAAAAAGAACGATACGAATCAAAAGAGAAGAAAAAAAAATGTATAAAGAAATTATTTGCCTGTTCTTTTAGTTCCTTGACATCAACACCTTCTCGATTTGCCTTGGCGGCTCCAAGCTCGACTGTGGAGACACGTTCGGCGAATTTAAGTGTACTAATCGTCTCCCCAAGTGCATCCGGCTCGGGACTAATGTGAACAAACATTAGTGTCTTGGCTTTGCCTCCTAACAAAACGAAAACGAATGCCAACTGATGATTAATATATTTGTTTCGCCTTATAACACATTTAAATATTTTTCTTTTACCGAGCGAATCTTGAAGCAATTGCGTGAGCTTGCTGTTTCTATACGGGACGTGCGATTGCTTTAAGGCAAGAGATGATATGACGTCCCCTAAAGCCGAAAGGGATCGGTTGATATGTTGAGCCTCCTTCAACCTGTCCCCAATCGCCTCGGTTTTGTCGAGCCTTTCACTTCCCGCAAGGTCGACCAAATGCATGCACCCGCGCAAGATTGCTCCAGATGTTAGGTCTCGGCCTTGTACATGAACCGTTAGACAACTGTGGAAACATTGTCAAAAAAATGAAAAATGAAAATATTACTTGAGTTTCAATATTTACATAACCAAATAGTCGAAATTATTGTATTTGTATATACCTATGTGAACGACTACTTCTATCGTTCATGAGTGTAGACCCCACGGCACGGTTCTTGTGGCCGAGGTTCATCAAGTTGATGACATCGGAAGTTGATGCGACGGGCACAAGATTCGCGTTCGGCACGTTAATGCCGTTGGAGCAATTGTTACGAATCTCCAATGTGTTAATGAGTTTAAGGAAAACGAACAAAAAGAAGATAAATGTGGAAAAAAATGTGAGCTGAGATATAGAAGTTATGTTTGGTAAACTAGCTGATAATTTATTATTGATAAGTGAATTTCAAGCTTGTAACTAAAAACTTATGACTTATGACTGAAAAGTTAGCTTATATAATAAGTGTGTTTGGTAACTAGCTTAAATAAATATTTCAACGAACTTATTTAAAAAACTATCAAAAGAAACTTATGAGATAAGTTTGAGTTCCTACTAAACCAAGTTTATTTGAATACAAGAAGCTATAAGTTAACTAAATAAATTATAAGCTAACTTATGGTGCTTACCAAACACACTCATAAAGATAAATATCTCAAAGACATTTTATTGTTTCTCTTTTTAGCGAAGTTCGATGTACGAAATTAAAAAGGATATTTCTTATTGCCCCCATCTGCAGCGAGTAGGTCCCGAACCTGCTCGTTGTATATTTCCGTCATTTGAACCGATATGTCGTAAGCAATGATGTCTCTCCTCTGTTCGGATATCTGGAACAAATCGCTCAATGCTCGGTAGTTCACTCCCAACGTCTCTTTCGTAAGTTCCTTTGGTCCAGTCTGTTTTAATTTATAACAAGGATACAGTTGAAAAGTTAAAATAAGAAACAACAAAACATCATGTAAAAAAAAAGAACTAATTACCATGGTGAAGGTTTTTCCCGAACCGGTTTGACCGTAAGCAAATATGCAGACGTTGTAGCCATCAAGAACGGATCTAATCAGCGGCTGTGTGTCGGCAAATACTTCTTCTGCAAGAAGTCGATAGAGTGAAGATGAAACTGAAGTGAAGGATTTATGCCTTTACTGTAAAAAATAAGAAAAATGAAATTTCAACCTTGACTCGAACATGGACCGAAACACTTGTTGAAAGTGAAGGACTTTTTCGTTTTTCCGGTTACAATCGCGAGAGAGTTATCAGTAATGTCTTCAAAAGCACAAGAACCATTTGCCTGTCCCGGCAGAAAAGGACGAACTCGGCAATAAACTCTTATATTCCCTATTACGCGTACGAACATTGTCATAAACACATAATTTGTTAGTAGTAATAGAGAATATCAAGATTTTTATTTTTTTACATTTGTTTTACCTTTGAGATCTTGCACTTGATTGTATAATTTGCGATTCTCCTCGAGGACCTTTTTGTAACCGTTAGCAGCAATAGCCAGAGTACTCAGGTGCTTACCTAAACATTGTCCAAAACCAAATGTAATTATGTTTTTGTTCGATTTTCCTAGCTATAAAAACACGTGTGAATTCGAGTTTCATACTGAGATTATCAACTTCGTCTTGATACTTCATTTGAAGAAGCTTCATGTCTTGTTTCGTGGTATGAAGCAAATTCTTCAACTCCTACAGTTTTGACGAATTGGAAATTCATATATATTAAAAAAAGGATAAATTTTACTCGTTTAGATTCGGTTTGAAACAAGCTATGGACCTGCACACTTCTCTCTTGGTGCTCAACGAATTCCGAATACCTCACAGAATGGTTGTCCGATGCTTCATTGTCTTGAAAATCAGTCTCCGGATGGGAACTCTCATTGTCCTGCATAATGTTTTTCGAGCACTCCTCGTTTCGAGTTATCTTTGCATCCTTTAATTGCATAAAACCCCGCCAAATGTTAGTTATTTCAATACAGTCTCTTGAAACTATGACTCTATATAAAGACAAACGTATAATGCATTATCCAACCTCCATTTCTTCGATTCCATTGGAACTCGGGACATCCTTAATAACCCGTGGAACCATTTGAATCTGCCCAAATCGCGCGAAAAGGGAAAACAATTAAAGATTACTAAACAGATTCGTGTACTAATGAGGCACAACAAGCTGAAATTAAATTAAAGGGTCCGCTCGTTGAAGGAGTTTTTCGCTTACTATATACCTCGTTTTGAATCGAAACCTTGTGCGCGATTTCTTCCATAACTCTGCTCAACATACTCTCTACAATCTGCCAAATGTACGCAGCTGATAACTAATTACTCCATATTCATTATTACAAACATATTAAGAACGTGTAAAAATAGCATTAAACATGATGAACATTAAAAAAAAAAGGATTTTACTCACTAAAGGAATTTCTTCTCTGCTCTTGTCCAAAAGAAGCTCGCGAACGAGCTCGTGCAACGAGTTAGACACGCCCTGCACGATTTATTTCTCTTATTACTTTTTCCCATGGAACTACCAAAAACATCAATAGAAATACAAAATACAAAAAATTAAAAATATAATAAACGACGAAAAGCTAAACTAACCGTTTCACTAAGCTCGTCCTCGTCAGGCCCACCATCGACGGGCTTTTCCGAAATCCTCGAGATGAAATTCAAAAAAAGGTCCGAGTTTTTCCTCCCGACCGGTTTCCCCACGGACGGTGGCCTTGAGTTCCCGCCAAATTTCCACTGCCCGAGCCCGCCACATTGCTTCCACTCGCTATACGATTTGAGTGCCAAAACGGTGTTCACTACTCTAGAAGACTTCCCTCCCTAAAAATATCAAGAAATCACCCCAAAAAGAAACCCACATTACAAAAAATATGCAAAAAAAAAAAAAACGAGGTTTTACATAGGCCTAACGACATGCGTACTTGCTCCAAATCGGAAGCTTCGAAAATGGGAATCCCGATTTCCTCTATAGCAACAAGAAAATTCCGAACATTCTCAAAGTATTGATATGCGGTAAGAGCAGCGCCATCCGGGATCATCACCGTGTCGGGAGGAGTCTCGACCACCTATAAACACAAACCAAAATCAAACCAAATTATATTTCAGAATAGGTAAAAATAGAATTTTAAAAATAAAAACAGAGGAATCTTTGGAAAAAAGGGAAGTTAGAGTCAAAGAAAAAGAAGATTATATTAATAACAAAAGCCATACTTTTGTCACGGCGCCAGGCTCCACTTTGTTGAGCACATTGCAGAGTATAATCCCACTTCTTAAGCCGAGCCTGAAGTCATCTTCCGAGGGCTCGGCGGGCAGATCTTTAGCGGCCACCACGCCGGCCGTTTTTCTTAGCCAGCTGGCAGCATCATATCTTCTTAATGCTGTGAAAAGAAAAAAAATGGAACTTTATTCGTTTCTTACGGCAGCATCATATCTTCTTAATGCTGCAATTAACATATGAAAAGAAAAAAAAATGGAACTTTATTCGTTTCTTACGGCCGATTGTTTTTGTTACTCGACTCGATTTTTAAAACAAAACAAAAACCGACGAAATATGTCGAAAATGGAGATCATTGAAGAAGGGAAAAAATGATGATTTAGTTTTCTAGCTGACGCCAAAATTAAGAAATAGTTGCATTGATTTTACAAAACACATTGTAACTGAAAAAAAATAAAATAATTTTTGGTCCTTCCATTGGCTTTTGTCGATCAGTTTGACCGGCTGCTGAGTTAGATATGTTAGAAAGTTGTCACGTGCACAAAAAAATATAATATCCACTTCACCAACAGGTCACATAACCGGATTTTGTCGATAGAAGGACCAAAAGTCAATTTCTTTTTGCAGGGTGTTTTGTAAAGTCAACACGAACATCGGACTATTTCGCAACTAGGTTTCAATTACAGAACTAAATCTCCAATTTTCTCAATGAAGAAAAATACATTCGAGATTATTAATCAATGGAATCGTAATTTACAAGCTTCTTGAGCTTTTCGCGAGGCCAAATCAATGTCGTTGAGTCTTTTCCCGTGCTGTTGAAGAATGTCCTCCACCATTGAAGCCACGTTGAATTGCAGAATTCCCTCTGCCATTCGACTCTGGATGTGTACGGACAAAGTATAAAACACAATAAATTAAAAATCGGGCTCGGATTACAAATGTCGATCAAAACATATATCACGAATAATCCGAAAAAATGGATGTTTTGTTTTTTCGTCGCGTGCATGTGTTTAGACGATCTTTTCGACGTACATGTACGGATTACAGAGCTGTTGTCTGAACGACGAAAAATGTGTGCTTGCTTATTATGTCATAGGTTTCAATGGTGAAAGATTGTTTATTTTATTTTTCTTAATTTTAGTAGAAATGATCAGAGGAAGATGAAGGCAGAACATTGTAGAAAAAAGAGACTTTTTTCCTTTTTATTTTTTAAAGACAAATTAACGTTGTGAAATAGTTTTCATTGTTTTGATCTCTAATTTTAGAGCTTCGCGGTCATCCATGCCTTGTATTACTGGTTTTTCTCGCTCTATATATACATCTCTATATTGTTTTTCCTCTTATAAAAATGTACCATAAAGTATAAAAATGTATTTACTATAAATATAAATATCAATATAAAAATGTATTTACTATAAATATAAATATCGATATACGTATCATAAAGTTTTAAAAAACATAGAATCCGTATCACCCTCAAACTTTTTTTTTTTTATTTTAAATGAGATTTTAGGTATTCATAGTTTAACTTCAACATTTATAAGTTATTGAAAATTAAGTTTTTTTATTGAAAATTTGATTTAAATTGAACTTTTGCATTATATTGTATAATATTTTTGTTAGTGAGGGCTTATCAAATTATCATTCTTAAGAAAAAATTAAATAAGGTTAACTATATGTGATTACACAAAAAAAGAGTAAAAATTAAACATTAAAAATGTAGCAATCTAACTAAATAGTCGGTTTTATAAATTACTAAATCAATTAATAATTAAGAGACCGAAAGAGTAATTATTATAAATATTTCTAAAAGCTTATCTAAAAATGTAAAAAAGATGAATTGCTAGCATATACATTTTTCAATCAAGAAATAATATTATTAATATAAATTAAAACAATATAGACAAAAATTTTAATTACTAATATATTGTAAATATTTTTTGCATTTTTATACATATTTTAAAGTATTTTCTTCATCTATATATGTATATATATATATATATTATTTTTTGGAAAAAAATGAGGAGGGTCCACGGGCCCTCCTGGGCCTAGTATGGCTCCCTCATTGATCGCACCAGGTATAATGCTCTATCGATCGTTTAACTACGAAGGTCTAAAAAACGATGTATTTACTTATTACACTGGCTGCAATTGTTTACATAATCTTTTCATGTCTTGTTTGTTCAACCAAGATTTATCTTACTAATACATAATATTTTCATGTTTTGTTTGTTCAGCCAAGATTTATCTTACTAAAAAAAACCCGAAAAAGTTGATATTTACCAGTATACCCATTGTGGGGACATCATTTTGGTGCACATTATACTACTTTGTGACAATGTCAATCTCTTTTAATTCTATTAAGTTTTGCAACAAACTTTTAATCCTCCTATAATTTTCAAAAAATAGCTCATCAAAAGTCTAATCATGTTGTGGTTTTCTTAACAAAACTCATAAGTTCAGTGAATGCTTTTGTGGCACAAGACAAACAAGTCACTAAGTAATTTGTATTTTGTTAATAATATAGATTGGTTAGTGAACGACAAGCAAATTCAATCTGTTCTTGTTCCTTTGACAGCCCACAAGTAACATGCTCCAATCAACTTAACAAAAAATAATATATGTGTGATGTGTCCCTTTATTATTACTTTGTTTTCATTCATATGTTTTTCAAAGAATCATCAATGATATTTTTTATTTGTTTTTTTGCACAATGAAGGAGGCCAGATGCCTAGAACGCTCCCTGAGCTAGGACACGACGGGGATACGACACCTCAACAGATGCAGGCCAATCGAGGAAGAGGCCGTCATGCTCGCTAAATGGTCAGCCGCAAAATTTGTTTCTCTGTGTATATGCTGGAGACGCAAGTTCCACTATTAATCATCAATGATGATTTAAGTATGTGGTCATTATGTAGTCTTTTCATTCTTCACTATTTGATCATTAAATTTATATTATGCATATTCGAGTGTATAGATGTTTTTATTTTCTGTTTAGGAAATAAAAGAGAGCAACTTAATTAGCCAATTGAACTTTATTGAGTACTTTGATATGTCAAGTTTGTTGGTTGACAATTTGACATATCTAGTGAAAAACTTATTTGATCAATTTTTGTGTTTAAAATTGCTATTATTTAAACACATGTCAAATCAACTGTTAATTATTTCTATTTCTAGTGAAATATAATTATTTCTAACAAATGTGACTTTTGCTACTGTTTGGAATATATTTTTGCTAACTGTGGGTTTATTTTAGGGTTCGACTTTATCGATCGATTTTTGGCATCAAAAATTCTATGGAGCTATCAGATTGTCATTCATTATTTAATGTGTTAACACCTGTCAAAAGTGTATTTGTTGTAAGATACGTGTCAATACATTATTTGTGAATAAGTGTAAATGACTACATAAATCTACTACAAGGAAATGATGAAATTCCAACGGAAATATATTTCAAAAGAATTATTCCACCGGCAATTCTATCGGATATTTCAATATTATTATTTCCGTTGGAATTTTTCAATGGATTCCAACGGAAATTCCAACGAAAATATTCCGTTGGAATGGGTTTACCATTGGAATTTCCGTTGGATTTTGACTATTCCAACGGTGGATTTTCCAACGGAATGGAAAAAAAAAAATTCCAACGGAATTTGCATATTCCAACGGAAATTCCTACGGTAAAAAGCCGTTGGAAATACAGCCGTTGGAATCATCAAATACCATCCAAAATTCCAACGAAAAACACATTCCAACAGATTATTTCCGTTGGAATTTCCGTTGGAACTATTCCAACGGAAGCTATTCCATTGGAATATCCGTTGGAATTTCCATTGGAATATATTACCATAGTATTTTTCGTTGGAATATAACATTTATTTTGTAGTGATCGTGTCATCAATACATTATTTGTGAATAAGTGTAAATGACTACATAAATCGTATCATCTGATTCCACAGCAGAACGGCTTGGTATATGGTTTCAGTCATTATAGTTAAAATCATTACAGTAAAACAGATTTAGCCGAAAACTGAAATAAAGTTTTTTATTACTAAAATATTAACATCATAAAATAAACAATTTATTGATCATTTGATGATAATGATCCATTTGTACAATCCTTGCCACAAAATGAAGCGTGTCACTTTTTTTTTTTTGTACAAGAAAGGAGGCTATGGCCTTAGACTATTATGTTTCGAGCATAAGAAATCCTTATGATATCGTGATCTAACCACGGTTTAATCTCCGTGGGTGGGTCATTCAGGACGTGGAGCCCACTCGGCATGGTTGAGGCCAACGACGCGAGAAAGTCTACACTAATTAAACACAATTTTACATCCCCTTGCCACAAAATGAAGCGTGTCACTAATTAAACACAATTTTACGTCATATAATTTTTTTTCTACGCAGGATTGAAAACTCGAGCAAAGCCATTAATGGCGCCATAGCTTCTATACCTGAAGCCCAAACAGCCGAGCAAGCCCTGCCTGTAGGGCAAATACGTCTTTTTCCTCATCTCCTCCGCCTGCGCCCTCTTTGCGGCGTAGTGGGCCTCGTGCGCCGACATCCCCTTCCTTTTACCTGCCCCATCTTTTGGACCACTCAATTTACCCTCTTTACCGTCACTGTTGTTATTATTTTTACTATTGTTTAACCCACCGCAGTTACCCTGCGACGTCGTTTTCCTCTTGTTATCCTTGGCGGCAGGCGAGAAGGACAGTGACACCCTGAACTTACTATTTTGCCCCTCGCTCTTGCTCCTGTACAACAACT